CTTTAGCTGAGGATGTAAAGGTTTTTGACATTTGACAGAGAATATCATAGATTTAGTTTTATCTGGATTAATAGTTACAAGCCATTTCTTAGTCCATATATTTATAAGCTCAAGATCATTATTTAGCTTTGCTGAAGTCAAAGCAGGATCGTCCACTATTTCAAGTAGGGAAGTATCATCGGCATAAAGAAAAGAATTAGATTGAAGATGTGTAGTAATGTCATTAATATAAATAAAAAAAAGCAAAGGTCCTAGTACAGAACCTTGGGGTACCCCCGCTTCAATTTGTCTCCAGTCAGATGACTGACCGTCAATAATTACCCGTTGTTTTCTCCCGGTTAAATATGATCTGAACCATTTCAATAAAGGGTCTCGCACACCAAGTCGTTCAAGCTTAAGAAGGAGTCCTCTATGCCAGACCTTATCAAAAGCCTTACTAATATCTAAGAAAACCATTCTCACTTCTTTACCTTGTTCTAAAGCTTCATATATTTTATGGGTTATTAATATAAGTTGATTAGTAGTAGAACCAGACACAGTACTAAAATGCGGTGCCCGCCTACAAATATTAGGGACCGGTCATTATTTATAGCGAGGGGTGGCACCGAAGAGAAAAAGGTTGGGTAAACCAAATTTTGAGTAAGTAAAAGGTTGGGTAAATGAAAAACAAAACAACTCAAGGGTTGGGTAATAAAAATTTATTGTCATTTCCACAGCATGACCCACTGAAATATTGGAGACTGAAAAGCATTGTCAACAGTCATTTGTCAATACAATATGTGAGTCAATCAGAGTCACTATCTTGATCATAGTTTGACAAAACAAATTGTGTTTCCAAAGAAAGTACATGTGCAGACAACATGAAACTTTAAACTGCAGAAAATTTCACAAGCCGTTATCAAACTCATGACACTGAAGTGATAAAGGACATGTAGCTATGACAACTGAATGGTATCCTACTATCCTTTTGTTAAGTTTTTGGCCAGGGGTGGGTAGTTATTTTTTAATTGATATTTCAGGTTGGGTAATCAAATTTTTGTCTTTTTAATGGTTGGGTCAGCAAAATTTTTGACACGGAAAACATTTCTCTTCGGTGCCACCCCCGCCATAAATAATGACCGGTCCCTTACTTTGACTTACAATTGTATCAAACGGCGCCATGTATAGGAATTTATAGCCTCCTCCGCTGCGGAGGAGGCTAAGGAATTTAGAGGAATTATAAAGTTCATCCGTATTTATTACATGCAATACGAATTCTCGTGGATTTGGGAAATTTTTCATGGATATCGATTTCTTTACTAGACTTACTCGTTTTTTTTTTAACTTTTAAAAAGACGTTTTAGTAATTTGGAGGCTGTTTTGTATATGACAATGACTGCAGCCTACAGTAAAAGTGCACACGCGAGATCTCAGAATAACAGTATTATTAAGTAAGCCCCCTTGATGAGTGTGTATACGCTCTTGGGGCAAACTCGTTCTCATCAGAAATATGTTTAAATAAAGTAACTAATATATTATATGTATTGCTAGAAATTCCCAAAACATTCATTTGTCATTGAAAACGTTAACAACCAACAAGCAGGATGATGTCATATAAATATATAGAGCACGAGGCAAAACGTCCATGTTCCTTCGATCAACGGCAGTAAATAAATATTGTATTTAATATATTAAATTAAGGACTGTGTTACTGTTGAAGTTATAACATGAACGTTTTGCCTAGTGGCTAGTGCTTTATATATACGACACCAGCTTGTTGATTTGGTTATCAACGTTTTCAATGACAAATGAATGGTTTGGGAATTTCTAGCAGTACATATAATTTATTAGCTACTTAATAATACTGTTATTCTGAGATCTCGAGCGTGCACTTTTACTGTAGGCTGCAGTCATTGCCATATACAAAACAGCCTCGAAATTACTAAAACGTCTTTCAAGTTCCGAAAAGCGAGTAAGTCTAGTAAAGAAATCCATGAAAAATTTCCCACAAATCCACGAGAATTCGTATTGTAATAAATACGGATGAACTTTATAATTTCTCTAAATTCTTACATGGCGCCGTTTCATACAATTGCAAGTCAAATAACCTTTTGCAAACATATCATGAAAATAATAAAAAAGATAGCAAAGTTAAATATTGGTTATTGTTCAACTAAATTTAGAATAGAGTCACAGGTACATAGTACGGCAGAATATTGAAAACGAAACTGAAATATAGTACATGCGGCAAAAGCCTCGAGCGAAACTTCGTTTGCACGTTTACAAACAAGCAATACTCATGCATTTGATATTATGTACCGCCCAATATAATATATTTATCCTTGGCCATGAGAAAAATTATTTAAAAAAACAACAATACAAGTAAAAAGTAAAGATCGTAACCATCTATCACCCCGAATTTAATGCAAAACACGTGAATTTATAGAGAAACACGTGCGTTGCTTCATAGCTCGTATTCCAGCGTGTTCCGGGTGGGGTTCCGGGTGTTCCGGATGGGGTTCCGGGGGTTCCGTGTAGGGTTCCGTGTAGGGTTCCGGGTATTCCGAGAGGGTTCCGGGTGTTCCGAGAGGGGTTCCGGGTGTTCCGGGTAGGGTTCCGGGTGGGGTTCCGGCTTTTACAGACACCCGATCACAGCCGCTAGGAGGGCTTAATACATCAGAAAACACAAAGTAGCCTGGATAATTTGTTATTATAAGATCCAACAGGGTTGCACTATGTGATGTCACTCGCGTCGGGTCCTTTATGACCTGATATAAATTATTACATTCCATCCAACTATATAAACAAGCACCAAAATCGGCGCTTTGTGATACAGAACCCTCATCGAAATGAGCATTAAAATCCCCAAGGAGTACAACAAAGGTATTAGGCATTACTGTCGTTCCAATTGAAGTGTTCCTCAAATATTGATTCAATACATTACCTCGGGCTGACCAATTCATTTGATCAAGTTCCTCGAAATATTCATACACTTCCTAGTATAATTGTAAACTTCCTGTTGAATAGTTTGAATGCACCAATCACCTTCGTTGTTTGTGCAACTAACCATTCATAAATAGAAAGGAAGTGACCAGAAATGATCAAATACTTGGAATTGGCTCTTTCACAGGAAGTGTATGAATATCTCGAGGAACTTGATGAAATGAATTGGTCAGCCTGAGGTAATGTATTGAATCAATATTTGAGGAACACTTCAATTGGAACGACAGTAAACGTATTCGATCTAGGGGTGCACCGGAACCAGTTTTTTAAGTTCCGGCCAGAACCAGATCTGACCGGAACTGGAAAAAAGTTCCGGCCGGAACCGGAACTCATTTATTAAGCCATGTATAGTCATATGTTACTTTGTCCGCTGCCAGACAGGCAGACACTTCAAGTCATCAAGGAGAGAGCTCGCAAATGTCATAATGAAGTGTTAATAGTGTACATTTCCCTTGCGTAGTCCAAATTTCTTCCTACTATGACCTTTTGTTAGACACAAAAACGTTTGATATTCTATCTCTCTGATAACGACAGAGTTCCGGTTCCGGCCATGCTTTTTTTATTAGTTCCGGCCGGAACCGGAACTCTAAATAATCGGAACTAACCGGCCGGAACCGAGTTCCGGTGCACCCCTAATTCGATCCAAACAATTTTGCAAATGAGTTAAGAAAGCAGAGTTCATAGTAGCACTACAGGGTGTAAAAATGAAAACTATTGAAATCACGTATTGTTAAAATTGAATGCCCTACCAAAAAGCTGAACGTAATGATGCGTAAAATATTGACATGGTGCATGTATTAAAATTTAGTTAAGAACATCTCCTTGTAAAGTGCGCGATTTTCTGCTCTTGGGAATCTAAAGCAGCTTTCTAAATAGTTTCTTTATGCATAAAATTTACTTACGTCAATCATTTATGCACTCGTGGGAACCAACAGAGTGCTATGGCATTCAAATTCTAACAATTAAATTGTTATTGGTGATGTCAATAGTTTTCGGGGTTTTTGGGACACCTTGTATAATTTGGTGGCCGATAACAAACTGCACAAACAAAATTAGTATTGCAAATTTTAAATTCAACAAACAACAATTCAAATTCACAATTTTCGAGATCCAACCGTCGCCTATATGCAATACTAGATGAAATATACAATGCAACTCCACCGGCCCTCCGACCATTCTGTGTATAACAATTATGTGTACCTGAGTTCAGTTTGACATTTCCTCTTTAAAATATTTGCGTATGTATCCTTTGGATCATTAAAGGTAACATACGTCTTGAAAATCTTTGGTTAAATCAAATCTTCTGTACGAAATTACAAACAACAACAACAGCTCGCGAACGCCATATTGTTTCAGAGCGTGGTGTCCACGCGTCATGCGTGAGCGTGGGATACTAACAAACAACACATCCCACGGTGGATCTACCCACGGTGGATCTACCATGGGATAATATCCCACGGTGGATCTACCGTGGGATATTATAGTATCTCACGCTGCATTGCGAAATCATGAATTTGAGTGAAATACCGTAAAAAAATCACATCACGTGGTACAAATGCTGTTTTTTCATTGGACAATTTCAATTTGAGGTATGATATTTATATTTATTCCGCTCCTAAATCAGCTGACGTCACTTGAATTTGGAAGGTAAATTCTGATTGGTCGACATAGCGGAATTCAGTTTGGCGCTCGGGTAAGCAGACGGTAGGTTTTCGTCGCTTGGCGTAAGAACAACGTCTGTGAGCAGGCTACCGAAGTAACAATGTTGGAATAAAACCATAATATTAGTCTTTAAATCGCAGTCAAAATACGAAATTGCTGCAAAAATTGCGGCACACTCCTTGCCAAGATCGGCTATTGGACCTGCCTCGTCTCCAGTCGCTTTCAAAGGGGGGAGAGGAAAACGAGAAACAATTTAGCAAATGATCACACCACTGATCTGTATAGATTGCAATTGCACTGCACTAGTACTGTTTCCAACTTAAAGGCCTGCGGAGGAGGCAGCTATTGGACGTCAGTTTTAGTCCCTTTCTATTGTTTTTGTCTGCGCGGTTAACACGAAACTGGCTTCACTTTTTGGACTCGAGTTCTCGCTCCAGATATATATGGAGCTCACTGGCGCTAAGCTAACAAAGTCGCAAATTACAATATTAAAACGAAATACAAATCTGTATAAACAGAGTTCTAGACTTCTAATTACGAGTTAACACAAAGTAATAAACTATATAATTGTTCAGATGGCAAAGTCAATACATTAATCAGTTTATAATATATAAGCTTGCCACAAAACTACATACTATTAATATAATAATTCTATAATAATAATACGACTACCAGTTTCACAGTTTGTATATGCAACGAAACAATAACCAGTATACTAACAATAAACGATCGTATTAAAAATCATTAAATCTACTAATCTAGACAGACGATACGTATCCTTGTCAATAAAACAAACATACCCTCTCGACTCCAGAGTCCTCTTTTAACTCTTTACGCGTGCAGTTTCTAGAAGTCTGTGTTGTACGAAGTGTTATGTGTCAACAAATAACATCTCGGGTCACATCATAGTAATCCCGGCAAACGTCAAAGCCACAAAATAGAAGACCTTTGCTTGATGTTGAACTGTACCTAACCGTGCTCAACTTATTACTCTCGATTTCAATTTGCTTTTCAAAACTGACTTCCAATGTTTACTTGTAAATTCGAAATGTTCGTTGTAAAGTTCCGAACAGTGCTCTCGTTTCCCATTGCCTGGAATTCCTTAGATTGTCGGTAAAAACATCCTCAGATTTAGTAAAATTTCCTTAAACGTGGGGCAGGTATGTTTTTTGGTAATTCTTGGCCTGAATGATTGAGAATTACAAAGTTAGGTTCCCAGAATTTTCGTCTCATTTGGGAATTGGGATTTTGAGCAGCATCGTCAGAAGAGATTTCACATAGTTGTTGGTCAAGGAATATCTTCCTTCGAAAAATGTTTGCAGTCCTGAATGATTGATTGAATGCATAAGGCTGCATTTCCTGCGTTTTTAAAAAGTATTTTTTGGCATAAATACAGCTAAATTGACTGAATTTTTAAATAGTATTTCAATATTTTCAAATGTTAGATAAAAACAAACAATTCCTTAGAAATTCCTTAAAAATTCTATTTCCTTAATTTCCTCAGTTTAAGGAAATTTCCTTAATTAAAACTGAGAGCCCTGGTTCCGAAGTTTGTTTCGAAGTTCGTTACGATGATTTACGATAATCAAGTTTGGTAAGTTGTAATTGGCTAGTTAAGTGAACCAGCCAATCAAATCGCTTGCTATTGAATCATCGTAAATCATCGTAACGAACTTCGAAACAAACTTCGGAACTTTACAACGAACATTCCGAACATTTACAAGTAAACATTGGAAGTCAGTTTTGAAAAGCAAATTAAAATCGACTGCACGTTTCATCTCAGCTATCCCTATTGGACGGGTACTTAATTATACGAAAATACAATGAGCTCAATCACCGTGACCTTGCACATGTCAACATAAACTCAGACAAAAACATATATTAACAAACACTTATTACAGACCATCGTATCTTGATAGACTATGGTCACATGTACCCCTTCCAAATCACGCACGACTTCGCGCAAGATGAGAAACAAAACGAAAGATATTACGAAAGTCACCGAACTGTGGAATCGCATCAAAAATTCGTATATCGGCCACTCCCACAAACGTCTACGACCGCGCCTACATAGTTTTGCATGTTTACAATTCTAATTTTGAACAGCCAATCAGGTTCTTGGTAATTGGCTGTTTAAAATTACAATTGTAAACGTGCAAAAGTATGTAGGCGCGGTCGTAGACGTTTGTGGGAGTGGTCGATATACGAATTTTTGATGCGATTCCACAGTTCGGTGACTTTCGTCAAATACATAATCTGTGACATAATAACACTTAAACTACAAATACATGCCAGTACAGCAA